CGACTTTTCTTTGAAGCCATTGAGCAAATTCGATACGTGGTTGGAAATCGCGTAGCGTAAGTACCTGGACACGCTGAATATGATAAGGATGTAATTGCTGTTACTTAAAAATTCTGTAAACTGTCATATGACTCACATTTGAAACTTGAATAATTTTTCTTGTACTTGTCTCTGGATGTTTACTAATTTCTTCGAGAACCGCCTCCTCCAATTCTACAATTCTTGTAGTCCGTGGCCGTCCTATTGCAGAATTTGTTTCAAATCTTCCTTATTCGGAAAGTCGCCGGAAAAGATTTGCTAATGTCGCTGCACAAGGAGTCACGCGTTGGGATACCTTTCCTGGTAGATGCGTCTGGCCTCGCTTGAATTTCCGTCAGCCAAGCCGTATGCAAAAACTGTATCAGCAATTTCAGCATTCGTAAAGTCGGGCATGGTACCAAAAAATCACTTTATAAACTCCGAACTGTATTTTTCAATTAATAGTTAAAAATGTGACAGCGAACTTCTATTTTTATAAACAAACTTTCGTAGCCTACTCGATTTAATCAACTTAATTTGCAAGCGGAGAGTGACAAAAATTATTGAGATCAAATTTGGCTATAAAGTAATATGCATCGATATAGAAAATTGTAAATATCTCGAAAACGATCACCTCCAGCGTTGTTGAGGAAATGTACCTTTTTTACTTGAAAAAGGTATGGGAATTAGGTTTTTTCATGAGAAGTACCAAAAGTTCACTGTAAAAAAAATTAGGGCAATTTGAAATAAATAATGACAGCGTACGCAGCGCCCTCTAGATGTTACATGAAAATGAATACGAAATTATGATTTCCTACGTCGAAAAACCCCCGGGTACCGAATTTCGTGCAAATAACTCATTTTTTGCAAAAGTTATTTTCGAAAAGCGAACAAAAAATTCAATTTCAACACCCCGTATCTCCGAAACGAAGCATTTTCGGACACACGTTCATATGGACTATTTTTCTTAAAATTGTCTCAGGAATACGTCACATGAATATTTCAACGTACTTATGTTACACCCTGTATAGAGTTGTTGTAGTTGCTGGATTACTGACCCCACCTTATAGAATTATGAGAGCCACTCTGTGGTACATGTTTGGGAGATGTTTAGATAATCCAGGTGCGACTGTGGAGATGATATGGAAACAATCAGCCACATCGTTGAAGGGTGTCCATTGAGGAGAGTCTATACCGGTGACCTCTCTGACTTCAGGACAGTGACTAAGGATGGATATACGTGACTTAGATGTTTTTTCATAAACTACAACTCACGATTTCATCTCCACAAACTTTATATGAAAAATATATCACGACAAGTTTCGCTAATACAGTAGCTTCTTCAACAGTGATTCCATTCACTGTTTTATACAATTATGTTTGTTACATTAACTTTTGTGATGTGAATAAGCCATACGCTAAATAAATGAAATGTTATAGGAGGATATTATGACATGATTTAATATTACATACTAGAAATATTACTCAAAATGACTGTCGATTTGAGAAGATTTAGTTTATCGTTATTTCGTTTCTGGAAACTGAAAAATTGATCAATCCTGGTATATTTGAAATGATGTAGAATATAAAATAATGTAGAATGCAGAAAATAGTGTTAAAACTATGAAACATTTCATTATGAAGGAGTTGAAAAGCTCATATGATTTTATAGGTCACTTGTTTAAGGAGAAGAACTTGACCGAACAATCTTTGAATAATTTTCTTTTAATTTATCGAAATACAGAACACTGCAGTACTGGGGAGTCACCAGCCCGTATGATGTTGGGTAGACACTTAAAAACTAGATTAGACTTACTTAAACCCAATTATATCGGAGTGCGTAAAAATAAATCGATTGGTGAAGTGAGAGAAACATTGAAAAAGGAGCAAAGTAAACAAAAAAAGTATTATAAAGGAAAAAACGACTTTGTGTGCAAGACGTGGAATATGTGTTAGTACGAGATTATAGAAAATCTAAACCTACTTGGATTACGGGAATCATTGTAAAATCGATTGGACGAAAAGATTTTCATGTAAGAATTCCAAATACAACACTTATATGGAAACGCCACGTAAATCAATTGTTGCCCCTGTATCGTCGTGAAGAAACTTCACTCCCTATCAATAATGGATTTTCCGAGAATCCGGAAACCTCAACGGAAGATTTCGAATTAACAACGGAAACTAGAGAAAATTCCATAGATTCACAGGAGACAGTTTTTGACTCAAATAATTCCAGATTGGGGGAGGAAACCGAAATAACTCCAAAACAAATTGTTGTAACAGAAAGGCCAAAACGTATTCGAAATCCTCCAGAGAGATTCATTCCTTATTAGTGTTATAGTTTTTTCTTTCTATATAATGTAGTTAGCAATTTAAGTTTTTTCATTTTCTTCGATACGAGGGGAGGAAAAGTGTAGTGTATCCGAATTGTTTGAGATAAAAACTGTATATTTTTTTGTATGCGCTGGGCCGTGACCTTAGGAGATAGCAGTTCAGTTGAGTTTGGGAAATTAAATGGAATGTATGAAAACCGTGTCTTATTGTTGAAAAAATAGTGAAGTAGATTATAGTTTATAAAAACAAATTGAGTTGACAACGTCCAGAGCTGATGTGAGACGAATGAGTGAGAAAAAACAGTGGTTTCTTCATAGATTGAAAATTTTCCAAGTGAAAATAAATCTCACATTTATTTTCATCACTAACCACCTACTAAGCGGCATTGAAGTCTATTAACAGAATTTTATTCATGATTCGTGTTGAACTAGGGGCGAAGAATGAAATCCTGAATTCACATGAGTCAGTAACAAATTATTGAATACATAATAGTGTATCTGGATTTTAAAGATTAGAGTTGAACAAGTAAGGTCAAGTTGGTGCTGCATCCATTGAGGAAATCAAACTGTAGGCAGTTTTGCTAATTTTTCTGCCTCCTTTGTGGTACATATTTTTTGAGAATAATATTGGAAAAAACGATCTCAGGAAGTTTATTCCACATAAATGCTGTTCTCCAAATGGAAGAGTTCCTAAACAGTGAAGTTCGAGGTATATTGAGTTGAACCTTATAACGCTGAGCAGCCACAGTCCGTCCCATATTTCTGATATCTATCGCTTTTGGTGGAATCAAATGTGCTAAGTCACTTGAACACTTCCCGTGAAAGTATCTATAAAAGAGAGAAACATTTCCAACCTTTCTACGATATTCGAGACTATCAAGGTTGCAAGTGATGTTTTTGTCTCTAGTCAGGCGGATTGCTTTTCTCTGGATGGAATCTAGCAGCTTCAGGGTATGTTTGGGAGCTCCATACATGAGAACAATACTCAAAACAAGGTCTAATCTGAGCTTTATGAAGCATCAAAATTTGTTGAAGTGTGTACAGTTTTCTGGTGAGAAAAAGTGTTCCAAGCTTTTGAGAAGCAACCTCTGCAATTCCAGCGACATGACTGTGCCAAGACATATTGGTCTTCATTTCAACTGCCAACAAACTTATCGAAGCAGAAAGCGGAATTGTCCGACCTGGCATTATTATATCCGGTTCGGAGACATTTATCTTCACGGAGAAAACCGATGCCTAGATGTTTGTGGCATTGAATCGAACCTGGTTACTTTCACCTCAATTTGAAATTACTTATAGATCCTCAATAAAATATTCACCTTCCTGCTGCCACTGAAGATTTTCTTCCACAACCGATGTCCTGAGATCCAAATGAATGACGAGATAAGTGTACTGTCGTCAGCAAAGCAATATATTGGATTCTTGGTTTTTTCCAATATACGGTCATTTGTTTTTTCACGTGTTTTTCAACTTAACAAAGTGGCAGCAAGGTGGCGTGACATCGCTTTGCATTGCATTGAACCATTTGTATGGTTTGGTTTATAGGCTCTATCGAAAATAATTCATTTTATTGTGCGGAGAGAGAATACTTCCAACATACGGGGATAACATATCATACGAATTTTTTGCCTCAATAATTTGCTGTTCAGTTGTGGGAGCTGTCCTGGATTTTTTTTTTAGGCGACGTTGTTCTACCCCAAGGCCATTTCGGCGTCTAGGTTGGGCAGAGAAACATTGAGGTGAATCTATGGCCCCTAACCTGTTTTATTTACGGAAATAAAATCTCATACAATGCGTGGAATCATCGCAGATTTCACTGGAACCGTGATTTTATTAAAACTGAAAGTGAATCTCAAATAAGCTTTCAAGCCACTCTTTGTTCTTTCTCCAACATTCATTACAAAAGGTGTACTCTTGTTGCTTTTTGATCAAACTGCTTTGCCACAAATCCTCTCCATCTCTTATCATTCACAAAATCTCCATGCATAGACTTGGATTTGACTAGCACTGTACAAAGTTATTCTAATTCACCGAAACGAACTGAAATTTTTTGTAGACTCCATTTGAGTTGTTACCCAATCAAGAACGAGGATACGTGTCAATCTGCAAACTAACAACAAATGTATATGTTACAATTGAAATTCCCGATTTCCTTCTTTATTCAACAAGAATACTGATATGATTCAAGGAAGTTTTCATACCATGCATGTAAACAATTTCTCTTGTTGATAAGCTATATGGTTAGGTAACAGTTTGCGAAATACAAGAATAGTAGGACTTATTATCAAACCGTTAGCAATGATTCATGTTTTGTGTGGTAGAAATTCACAATGATAGAGTAACATACTTCAACTTATCTGAAATTCTTATACAGAACCTAGATAATATAATGGACTTTTTTATGTAGTGGAACATATATTTTTAAAATAAACATCAGATTTGGAATAAAACAATTCCATCTTTGATTTCGTCTATTATTTATTGAGTTCCGAATAATGAAGTAGAAAACATAACTACAACCAGAGTTAATAAGTTTATTTGTATTGAAAATAAATCGAATTGAGTGATGAATCAAATTAGTAGTAAATCAATGGAGTAATTCAATTGAGTAATAAATCAAGAAATTACATTAATTTAGCCCTCTTGGAAGGTCCCGGTTGAGGTTCGACCGTGTCTGAATCGACGTATTGGGATGGCATATCCCCATTAGGGGATGGTGATGAATCGTCGACATCTTGGGCCCACAAGACATCCTCCATTCCGACATTGGACAGATCGTAGCTTTCTGGGATATCTACTACTGCAACATTAAGTATATTGTCACAAGAGGCCCTACGAAGTGCCTGCAGACTGATGAGCATTTTAATCCTGCCTTTCTGCTGCTGCACGCCTTCCCACAACCCTTCGAGCAGCCGCAAGAAATCATCTGCAAGAGATGTTGTGGGGCTGCATCTCTGGTCATCATTTTGGGGTTGAGGCCTTGTGGCGTGGATATCCACCCCAGGAGAAATAGTTCAGTATGACTCTCAACCTCGCCTGTACCTACGAGAAGATTGTGAATGAGAATAGAAAATGATGAATGATATATAACTGATGCAATGACAAAAATTTACCTGATGGTATGTCCGCAAGGAGTTAAAACGAGTAGAGTCTCGTGTAGGAGATAACCTGGTTGAATTGAAGCTGATTTTCGTCGCAGCCCTGACGAATAGTTAGTAACTCAGCTCGTCAATGTTATGGGTGTTGGGATTGCCTCCGTATAGAGCAATTATGACTCGCTCTCCTGCTGCTGCTATCTCGTCAGGTGTAGAGTTGGTGTTGAGAAAAATCGCAGCTTGCTCTTCAACGTCCGGTTTTTTTTCGACAATGGACATCATTTGCATCTTCCCTAAGCCAAAGAAGCAGGATGTCGAGTCACAACCACTAAAGGCATGAATGGAGAAGAAAAGTTCTGGTTTTAAAGAGGGTTTTGAAGAAGTGATGGTGGAATACATGACATCTGATGCATTCCACATTTACTGTAAAAAATTTGATCGCAGTAGGGATGATTAGCAAGTCAATCTCCTCACCAACGACTACCACTATATCATTGGTAGAGGTGGCAGTTACAACTGTAGTGATGATGAACCTATAAGCATTTTCCTCTGCTTGGAGTACTTGAATTTTGTGATTTCCCATTTTTGTTGTCAGCAGCTTCATGAAACGAATCTTGTTTCTGTCATTTGATAAGAATTTCTGTTGAGGAACCTGTGCCATGGGTTACAAAACTTACATATCTTACATATATTTGGCTATACAAATAGCTTTTCCAATAAATATTCAAGAAAAATCTTGCTTGATGTGAATTTCAATCAAGTATCTGGTAGTTCCATTCAATGACCGATACTTACAGAAAATCTATAAAATATTTAAGTAACACTTTATTGTGAGACTGTCACTGGACAGTTTTCAAAAATATTTGCTAATTTTCCAACCTAATTTTGGAGAATTTTGAATAAAGATTTCAGGTTCGCGTAACAGCAAAAATAATACCACAGTCATCGGTTTGGAAATGAAATTAGTAATTGCCTCTTTTGTGATTGATGATTCTTACTGAAGAAAACTCTCTCACCTGCGCTAATAAACAATAATCCCTCCAAAATGCAAGCTTCATAAATCTGATTCAAATGTACAAAATCACATTCCAATCGATGTCATTGTTCCAAATGAAATGTATTGAAATGTTCAATGGTAAATCCCTTCACACATGAATTACTCCATTTATTCCATAAGAAACAATAATAAAATATTTGTACTTTCTATAACCATTTTCATGATATGCTTACGATTGATACTCAAGGAATAATGATATTGTTTGATGTTATAAAAATATCAATGAAAGGAAAATATATAATTGATTCACATTATTAGTTGTTCGTTCCATAGTTCAGTTCGGAGTGTTTCACAATTATTTCATTTAAAGGTTGGCATCATCCTGGTCGAATTGAATATATGAGGGAATTGTGGGGTAATTGCGAACACTAAACAGAAACTGATATTAAATTAAAGTGGAATGAATAACGAATGCTATTCATTACTAAAAAAATGAAAAATAAATATATAGTTTAAAAAACTTAAAAAACACGCTCCTAAAGAACAACGAATCAAAAAGTGAAAAATATTTTTTCAAATAAGCTCAAAACAATAGCGAATAAAATATACTATTATTATCGTGAAAAAAGCGTGGGCGATTTGTACCCACGCTGGTACAAAGCGTTGCACAAAGCGCCCACGCTTTTTTAACAATAATACTAGTAATTTGCGTTCGTTATTGTTTCAAGCTTATTAAAAAAAAAGATTTCAACTTCTTAGTTCGATGTTCTTTAAAAGCGTGTTTTTCAGTTTTTCAAAATATATTCATTTTTTAATTTTCAGTTTCGTATGCTATAAAAACGTGTTTTTTAGACTTTTCAAACTATATTTATATTATCTGAACTTTGAGATCATCGGGTTCATTCTCTACACGTGGGTACTCACGAAAAATGATCACTCCTGCAGTTCTCGTGGACCCAAAAATTTCATTTATGACATTTTCTCATCCAATCTTCATCGTATCTTCTAGAATATCAATACTTCGTTTTTTTTGATTATGAGAAAAGCTGTTCAAAATATTTCGTGTTAGGAGTCACACGTTGAAAAGTAAGACCTCGTTATTTCTCAGCTTCTACTTCTGAAGGTTGTCGTTCGTAGGGGTGCGACAGCTGGTTAACGGAAAAACATATTCAAACATATACATATTCTCGAAAGTCAATAAGGTTGCGCTGCCATTAATGGCTTTCTGATAACGTTTCGAACAATTAACATAGTGCTAACAATCTATTCAACATAATCTCTTCCTCTCACATGTTTTTCTAGTTTTTCTAGTTTCACTCCGTATATAATTTTCCAGTTTTATTCTAAATATGTGGTTCAATTGAAGTCTTTTCTGAAAGCACATTGGAAAAGTTTCTGAAATGCTTACAATAGTCCATTGACATTGATCCTGATTGTTTTACTTCTTCAATGATTTGTAAAAATTGACAAAAGTTTTTTCAGGAGTTGAAATGATATGATTATTTTTTAAGAATAGACAGTGTTTATTGGTTAAATGAAGTTTATCTAGTATTTTATTCATTCTAGATATTTATAAAAAATTCTGAATGTAGCACCCTTAAAGGGAACGGTGTAATTTTCAATTTTTTAAATGGAGAGTAAAAGCACCTAATACAAGGTTAGGAAGATCTATTTATGATCTATAGTAATATTACAAAATTAACATTCGATTGGGAACATCCTAATCTCGAATAAAGCATTTTCTAATATTAATCAATTCCTGTGTTGTGACGAACCCAATCGAAAGCTGTATCTAGGTTTGTATATCAAATTTTTCATATACCTACTTATTTCGTTAAAAAAAGTGAAATATTGTGAGATTAGATGCTCATGCTAGGTTTGCGATAATAGGATGGTAGTATTTCATTCAATATTGATTGATAAAATATTTGGATAGGCAATAAAGAAATTTTTAAATGATGCATAACTTCACCTTAAAAAATTCTATACATTCATAGTTTCATAACACAAAGAATAATAGGGCGCCGTAGTTGACATCAAGAGGATTTTCGTAACACAGAAAACTCTGCCACATACATGGTATTTTCATTCTCGTTTCCAAGCACCTAGAGTAATTACTTTCGTACGGTGACTGGGTTTTTTTGAAAAGAAGATTGAAATATTTTTTTCTGTTTAGGTATAATCTCCTGAAAATTCACAAAAAATTAAAGAGACCTGTCTGAGATATGACACAAGAAAATTATGTTACATTTGTTCATATTATTTTTCCATCTCAGGAACTCAGTGTAGAAAATAACGTCTCAAACAAATATTCTCAAAAAACAACTTTCAATTGGAAAAGAACGGATTCGGCTTTCTACTTTCGAATATAAGAGCTGAAACAAATATCTAGCCAGGGGAAATTTCATAAATGGTCTTGAAGATCCTTCCATTCGGCTGATCTGTAATGCCAAACTTTGCGCGGCTTAGATTGTTCCCCAACATTTATCGATAATTTACTCAACACTAAAATTAGTTTGTGACAGAAGATACCAATGGAGACCTTATGGTGACTGTGTAAATTTCTGGATTGGTTGTTAGTTATAGATCCAGAAGACTAGTATATTCTCCATCACCGTCAGGAATCCTGGTTGGCTCATTTATAATCTGAGTAAGTCTGCTGCTTATGGCGACCGTCTTCTTCGATGATATTTGAAAATTTGAGCCATTCGATATTGTGGATATTGAAGTCAACGAATATGAAAATTTTGGCACTGGGAAAATTGATTTGTAGAAAGTCAATGGTTTTCGCAAGTGAAGAGAATAGCGCCCTATATTGTGTATCGCTTGGTGTTCGATAAACGCAGCATATGGATTCAGTGTTCTTCTGTGATATTATTTTGAATCACATATCATTAAACTTTCGAGGTTCCAGCATTTCCTTTTGTTGACAGGAGAGATCGCTCTCCATAAAAAAATATTCCAAAGTTACGTCTGAATCGGAAGTGGAAATCATAGCTGGGATGTAGAAAATTGACGTGATTTGTTGAAGCACTTACTTTGATTTCTGTGAGTGCCCGAATATGAGGACTATTTTTTGCAGATGTTGATGACCTGAGTTTATATTCGAGTTGATTCCTCTGATGTTGCAGAAATCGATTTTGAAGTTGCTAATGTACCTCTTAGCAACTGCAGTTACCGTGTTATTTTCCTGTGGACTGATGTTACGAAGATTCTGCTGACTGTCAGAAATAGTGGTTTTCGAGTAACTTCTGCAGAATGATGCCCTCAAATCAGTACCCTTCCGAAAATTCGATTGGAGAGCTATTTTACCTCCGGAGTATTTTGACCCTTAGAGCGCCATCATGCAATTTCTCTCTATATTTCCTCCCTTGTAACCGGAAAAAACATGCCCTCTTTCTGCTTTTGGAATAGTTGTTTCAGGTCGTTAGTTGCATTTTGTTTCCCAATTTTCAAAAACTTGCTACTGTAGGAATTACCTTCATTTGATGAAAAATAGGAATTGATTGATTAGTTGAAAGTTGTTTCATATCTTTCAATTTGACGACTTTTTAAAATGATTGTTTGAATCAGAAAGCCATCGTTGTTCTCTGTCCTCTTGTTCCTTTTGCAGAAGTAGGTTTTTTGTTTGAATAAAAAAAATAGAAGCTATCAGAAAAGTGAAAAAAGGACAGATTCATGAGCTTACCGTCTGATTTGATGATCTGATAAAAACGGTTTCTTCATAAACGTGACGTTTCGAGAATAAAATCTCATTCAGTCTTGAAAGCATTTGTCACTGTTTCCCGGAATGCACCGTAACAATATTAAAAATATACAGTGCGGTCCATATGTATGGAATGAATTCATTTTTAGCATTATTATGTACTATATGAAAAAAACCTGAAACAGCTCGATTTTCATTCTTAAATTGACAATTCACAGTATGAGAATATTATCCCCCTCCAGCATCCCTTCTGAATTATATGCTTTTCGAGGGGGTGCTCCCCCTCGAAAAGTTTAAATAGCAAAGGGGGTCGTGTGGCACCTTGTTGGAAAGGGATTTTAGTTCTCTGTTCAGCAATATAAAGTTTTTTAGGTTTGGTGCAATCATAACTGAGAAACTTGATTTTTAGGATGTAAAATTTTGATAATGTCTCAAGGTATCACAAAACTTTACGTAGAATGAAGATAATAATGCCACATAATAATATTTAGAATGTATTTTTCAATGTACTTTTTACAATTGAATTAAATATTCAAAATGACCACCATTAACTTCTTGACAATAACCAAGGCGATATTGGAATTCTCGTACAACATTTTGTATGACCTCGGGGGTTATTTTGTTAGTTTCTTCCGTTATCCTAACTTTTA